TCACTTCCCATCTTCAGNTACCTACCTATAGGCTACCTGAATCTCTGAAATGTACTATATTCCTAAATATGCTATTGCTACACTTTATGGCAAAAATTGCACTTTTTCTGTTGGTCTTGGTTAAGNAACCTAACCTGCTCCGGGGCAGGTTAGCCGCACAGCATAAGTTACCATGGAGATCTAGCCTGCTAAAAAGAGAACCAGCTTCGTAGGACCGGAAACCCCGAGTTGTCCCTGAAGTTAGCCGGCTAAGCGAAAATCCTGCTTCGTAGTATACCCCCCAGGTTGTCTCTGTGTTAAATATTAGCCTCTCTGTTCTGCCCATGTAAAATTAGCTTTATTCAGCACAGCGGTTGGTAAATAAAAGAGTGGGTTGAAGATTATACGTGTTACCTTGTTGTTCTGCTTTAGCTGTACACAGAGTATCTACAATACTAATTGTTCATCTTCTATTCTAAGAAATATTCAAAGTATAATCTTCCGTCTCATGTCTGCCACTTAGGATCTGTTCCTTTTTGAATTGTGCTGCGTGGGGAGTTGTTTGTTTATAATCTACACCTCGTGCAAGTGGGTGGTGGGTTAGTGTCTGCTCTATGCTCACATGGAGACATAATAATTCATTGGATACAAATAATGTGATCCCAGGATTTACACGAGAAAGAAAACAGCCTGGCCGTAGATCAAATCATTATAAACTCCCGGGGGTGCTCTGCATAAATCATATTTCCAAATGATATGTTTTATATCTGACCTCAAACAAACCCATGTCTATATTGACTTGATTCTATATATAAATGGCCAAATGGTAAAGATGTCACTTTATGCAGATGACAATGCTCAAAATATCTTTATTACATAATTCAGTTTTACTAGAGGAACATTTACAACATAATTTTACAAATATATATATATTTATTTTTTAATGAAACCAAACACCATCCACGCGACACAGATTTATGAAGTAATCCTTAATAAAGGCAGCTCCATGTCAATTGTTGCAGGTATAACTCTTTATTGACTAACGTTTGATTCCAGAAGAGTCTAATAAAAGGATTACATTGCCTTTGAAGGTCTAAATTAGATATGTATTTCTTAAGGTACCTAAAGCCCAGGAGCAGAATGCCTTATTAAAGATGAATGATTGATATGCCGGGCGCATGAACAGTGAGGAGAGGTGGGACACGTTTGACCTATAGTGTTGTTTTGAAAGGAGCCTTGAATCAAAGCAGGGAGGTCTTGTTAATTATCAGGGTGGTCTCTGATGGCCACAGATGAGACCGACCCTCGATATAAAACCCCCCACCAAATATGTGGAGATCTTTATTTGTTATAAAGAAAGACCACCTGCATTTATAACACCTTCAACGGTATTTCATTAGAAGGAGAGATCTTCAAACTGCTCACATTTGATTGAAGTGGCTTGCTCGATGAAAATGTTGAAGATTCTTGTTCTGTTAGATGTGTGTAGAACGCACTCCAAATATCAGATGTTGATTATGGCAGTGACCCATTTTAGGAGACAGCAACATAAAACATTTTTGGGACATCCTTCAGCTATGAATGTTGTTGATTTCACGAATCTCAGTAAACATATCATCACTTTACGTGGATGTTGACTACTCCTCTGTTTATTTGATAACTTAAGCTAAAGGTACCCATTATCCTTTTTTCAGGTTTTCCCTTACCTGTAGTGTGTAATATAGCGGTTTGTGCATGTAAAAATGAGCATTATAGAATCTTTTTAATACTTTGGAGCTTCAGATTAACAAATCAAACTAGAGAATGCAATTCCTGAAGAAATTGCTAGTGGGAATGCTTTATGCTCAAAATCTGACTATCTATGCTGAAATGTAATGTGTAAGAAGAAAGTGAAGACTTGAGATTGAAATGATACATGAACACTGGGGGCTTGAATGTGTGATGAGAGAAGAAAAGACAGTAAAAAGGCTTGGAAAAGCAGCAGAATATTTGAACTGCAAACTTCTGAACTAACTTGATGGCGAATGATCTGTCGCCATGGCAACGGCATTTGATGACACCCCATAATACGCTTAGATGCGTTGATGGCTGCATCGTTACCAAACCTGTGAAGTTTTGGGGCGTTTGGAGCAGTTTCACTGAAGTTATGAGAAAACTGTGTTTCAAGGCGAGCATTGTGTTGCCATGGCAACGGCATTTGAAGAAATCTCAAAACTGTCCCGTAGATGTCTTCACGGCTGGACTGTTAGCACACGTGAAGTTTGAGCACTTTTTGAACATTTTCATAGGAGTTATAGCGACATCATGTTTTACGGCGAGGGATGCGTTTCCATGGAAACGGCATATGGTGAGATCTCAGACTTGGCGTAGAGCTGTTGAGGCATGGACCTGTGATATACAAGTGAAGATTGGCGGACGATTGGACCGTGTTGATTGGACCTAGAGCAACATCATGTTTTATGGCGAGTGGTCCGTCGCCATGGCAACGGCATTTGATGACACCCCATACTACGCTTAGATGCGTTGATGGCTGCATCGTTACCAAACCTGTGAAGTTCTAGGCTGTTTGGAGTATTTTCACTGAAGTTATGAGAAAACTGTGTTTCAAGGCGAGCATTGTGTTGCCATGGCAACGGCATTTGAAGAAATCTCAAAACTGTCCCGTAGATGTCTTCACGGCTGGACTGTTAGCACACGTGAAGTTTGAGCACTTTTTGACCATTTTCATAGTATTTATAGCAATATCGTGTTTTACGGCGAGGGATGCGTTTCCATGGAAACGGCATATGGTGAGATCTCAGACTTGGCGTAGAGCTGTTGAGGCATGGACCTGTGATATACAAGTGAAGATTGGCGGACGATTGGACCGTGTTGATTGGACCTAGAGCAACATCATGTTTTATGGCGAGTGGTCCGTCGCCATGGCAACGGCATTTGATGACACCCCATAATACGCTTAGATGCGTTGATGGCTGCATCGTTACCAAACCTGTGAAGTTCTGGGCTTTTTGGAGTATTTTCACTGAAGTTATGAGAAAACCGTGTTTCAAGGCGAGCATTGTGTTGCCATGGCAACGGCATTTGAAGAAATCTCAAAACTGTCCCGTAGATGTCTTCACGGCCGGACTGGTAGCACACTTGTGAAGTTTGAGCACTTTTTGAACATTTGCATAGGAGTTATAGTGACATCATGTTTTATGGCGAGGGATGCGTTTCCATGGAAACGGCATATGGTGAGATCTCAGATTTGGCGTAGAGCTGTTGAGGCATGGACCGGTGATATACAAGTGAAGATTGGGGGACGATTGGACCGTATCAATTGGACTTACAGCGACATCGTGTTTCAAGGCGAGCATTGTGTTGCCATGGCAACGGCATTTGAAGAAATCTCAAAACTGTCCCGTAGATGTCTTCACGGCTGGACTGTTAGCACACGTGAAGTTTGAGCACTTTTTGAACATTTTCATAGGAGTTATAGCGACATCATGTTTTGTGGCGAGGGATGCGTTTCCATGGAAACGGCATATGGTGAGATCTCAGAATTGGCGTAGAGCTGTTGAGGCATGGACCGGTGATATACAAGTGAAGATTGGGGGACGATTGGACCGTGTCGATGGGACTTACAGCCACATCGTGTTTCATGGCGAGTGGTCCGTCGCCATGGCAACGACATTTGATGACACCCCATACGACGCTTAGATGCGCTGATGGCTGCATCGTTACCAAACCTGTGAAGTTCTAGGCTGTTTGGAGTATTTTCCCTGAAGTTATGAGAAAACCGTGTTTCAAGGCGAGCATTGTGTTGCCATGGCAACGGCATTTGAAGAAATCTCAAAACTGTCCCGTAGATGTCTTCACGGCTGGACTGTTTGCACACTGCTATCTGAAGTCTGCTGCTCTGAGCATGTCAGTTGGAGTGATGACATCATCGTGTTTCATTACACAGGTGTTTATAGTTGAGATCAAAGGCTTCATTGTTCTGAATGAGAGATGAAAGGCTTCATTGTTCTGAATGAGAGATGAACCTCTTACATGTGAACGTTTTGTGGAAGAACCGTAACAGATATCTGTGAAATTTCAAAACGTGAAGCATGTCAAGGAAGTTGAGTATCTGAAGTGTAGTGTAGTTTCGGGTTAATAATGTGGCCTTTTTGGCAGTTTAACTAAAGGTGTGCGGCTGCTGCCGTGAGGAAATATCTGCCTGAAATTACAATGTGGTTTAATGGAGGAATGTTGAACGTTTTTGTCACTTCATGCCCTCAAGAGGCACTTTGTTTAATTAATTTTGCTTAATTATTTGTCATTTTTCAAGCTACGAGATGTTTTCCTACGTTTGTCATGATAAATTATGTCTCAGGAATGTAGGGTTTGGGAATTATGGCAGTTTTAAAAAAAGATATGAATGTGAATTTAGTTAATGTTAAAATGTGAAGAAAACCTCTAAAACAAGGTCTGAACAATGTTTAATATCTCTAAAAGTAAGAATCAGATTTAAAGGTTATTTTACACGAATAATGTCAGAAAGATGTGTAACATTTTAAAGTTGGAATGAGGTTTCTGAGTGAAAGTATGAATGAACAGTTAGCAGTTGAATCGCATGATGATTTGTTGAAGTCTGAAGAATTTCTCCATTGACTTCAATGTTGAAAATTTGATGAATTATGGGATGTATCTCTGGAATTATGAAAGTTATGAATGAGAAAAGTAATAGCCATCGATTCCCGACCGAGTTGAACGTTTTGATGTTTGAACGGAGTTTCTGCGATGTTCAATGCGGGAGGAGAAGCACGGCAAAATAAGTCGGCGGAATAATAAACTTTTCGTCCGTAGAATAACAGTTAGTTGGAATTATAAGGCAAAACTATAATATACATCATAATGGAAACCAAAATGACTGTTACAGGTTTCTGTTTAGAAGGAGGAGGAATTTAAGGTTTTTTAAAAAGTATTTTCGGACAGAACGATGACATCAGCCCACTTGATGTGAGGCTGAAGTAATGTAATATAATGTAATCCCAGTGATGAGGGTGGAGACCTGTGAGGCAGTTTTGGCATCCTGCGTGTGTGGGTTTGTGTGAGTGCATGTGTGTGTGTGTGTGTATGTGTGTGTGTGTGTATGCGCTGAATCCAAAATGTGTAGAGATGGAGAGATGATTACAGTCATGACACTGGGGGCTGGATTAAGGGGGATTACATGCATGCATACTTGCAAACACTGTCGCTAATGCATGCACACACACGCAAACACACACAGACACACACAGTTTGTAGGGCTAATAGTGTCATACAAAAAGGGTCAGAGAGGAGGCCAGGAGGTAAAAATAAGGGACAGATACTTACGGATAATCGTGAATCATGTCAAAAAGATCATGAAGTAAAGTAGCTTGTGTGTCTGACTTTTGCTCTCTCCTTCTGTTCTCTCATCCTCTCTCACCCATATTCTACCCCTCCTTTCCAGGTAGTAAGCTGCCAACATGGCCATTCCCAGGGGTCAGCCTCCTCCCTCTCCTTGGCCTCCTCTCTTCCTCCTCCTCCTCCTCTCCTCCTCCTCATCTCCTCCCTACCCCCCCTGCAGGCCCGGCCCCTCCTCCTCCAGCAGTCAATCAACGTGGCGGTGGTGTTCAGCGGCTCCAGCTACCAGAATGAGGTCAGAGGTCGTCTCAGCGGGGAGAACTTTGTGGACATGCCCGTGGTGGTCAGCCCAGTGACCGTGCTGGTCAACGACACTAACCCCCGTGACCTGCTGACTCGCCTCTGCGATACCATGGCAACGGAGAAGCTGCACGGAGTCGTGTTTGAGGATGATGTGGGTGTTGGTGACGACACTCAGGTAAAAATGCATTTATGCAATTGTGTTTTTTTTCTGATAAAACATTCCATACAGTGTCACATTGTTTAGTCACCCACAGCCAAGTTACTTAAAGCTGCACAAGACAACATTTTTATTTAAAAAGGCATGCTGTCTAGTTAAAAAATAAGTACTAATTAAGATTCCAAGAATGTAGGTGTTTGCTCAAAGTAAATGATGTTGCTTGTATGGTTTGATTGTAAAGGGAGGAAGTGATATGAAATCGTAACAGTTATTAGAACCCTAAACAGTCCTCCTACTAAGTATTGTCAGTTAAAATAAATGAATAAATAGTCTTTTAAATTACTTAAAGGTGGGGTATGTAATTTATTTCAGAAAAACTTTTTGTTATATTCCATGGAATGCTCTTAACATCCCGATAGCAATGAATAGATTAAATGCTTTGACAATAAATACATAAAAAAATGTCATCTGTGGAAGCCGTAGCGCTGTAAAAAGCACAACCAATCATTTTAGCCGGGCCGGCTTAAATAACTGGATGGCCTAACTACCTAGATTAGTTTAACAGTGTCTCACCTTTGGCATGAATGGTTGCATTGGAAAACCATTGGTTTGACTGGTTGTTTCACTTTGGCAAACATGTACATTTCTGAATTTAATCTAACTGTTCAAACTGATTGAATTTGTGCTGTATCACTGGTGCAGGAAAAACAACATCATTCTTTAGGCAAATACTAAATCTGTCTGTTTCATCTCCAGGTAGCAGAAGTGGCACAGATCCTGGACTTCCTCTCCACTCAGACAGCTCTGCCAATCGTTGGCATCAGTGGCGGCTCTGCAGTTGTCATACCATTCAAGGTACTGTCAAAATAATGAGCCCATCACTTCAGCATTGACCCATCACCACCCTGGAGCTGGAAACAGAGCTAGAGTAGTTTTCCTTCCTGCTATGTCACAGTGATGCCACACAACAAATACAATGTGTGTCCTAGAGGTTTTAATACAACATTTTTCACAAACAGTATAATTAGCAATTTAGGAAGTAAGAAAAGCAGATCGTAGTAATGATGAACAACAATCTGCAGTCTAAACCCTGTCAGCAGCAGCAGAGCCTCCTGTCTTACTCAGAATTCTTCCAACCGGCATCATTCAGCTTACAACAACTTAAGTAGGTCAGAGAGGTGAAACCTATTTTGGCAAGCAACTCACTGAATGCAAATATTTGGATATGAGCAATACAGATGAGTGAATTATCAGCGATTGTGGGGGAAACCTCTGAAGCAATTGGAGTCAACACTCAGAGAGACACGAGGAGAGCTGGAGCTTTGATGGCAAACACTGACGGTTTATTTAGGAGCTTCGGCCGGAGAATTCACAAGACATGTCACGGGCCACGATCCGACCACGCGGTTGAGATGCCACAATCAATTCTGAAGAACCCTCCTGTAGCTCCAGGTTTGTAATAATCAACATTCTTCAATAGATAGACTAAACAGCTGAAGGACACTGAATCACATTTGTTGTCGCTTATGGCTCAAGGTCATCTACACCCCGAGAAGGATGTGTTCCAGGCAGACCCGGCGTCATGGGCGGGCCCAATGAGAAATCAGGGCTGATACATTTTTTAAATTATAATCAAATATATATATATATATTTTTTTATTATTATGTTTATTGTTGTTATTTGTAGGGCTTTGTCATACCATTTATTTTTGTATTAAACTATGTTGAAACATTCGTATAATATCATTTTTGTATTTTGCTATGAAATTCTGAATTAATCTCTGCGCGCGAAACTGGTTTTTCGCGGGATTGAGTCGTGTGTGTGTTTTGTTTTTAAGTGAGATGTGTCACAGCAGCCTGTCAGTTTACTCTGGCTAGGTTAGTTTGGCCAATGGCTATTATCCTTTTTTATATGTATCGCAACAATGGATATCAGGAAGTGGTTCACGAACAAAAAGAGCTCACAAAAGGATTGTGGCACTGGCAACTCAGCACCAGATGCTGGCAACTTGACGTGTCCCCCGCCATCTCTTCTACCTTCTCCTCCACCAGGACCCGATTCAGACGCAGCCTCTTCGGAGCCGGGCAGCAGCAGTTCATCCTTTAGCAGCCCAGGCCCAGCTCCCATTCTAAACGCTCTTGATCTTGGAGATTTTAGTTTTATAGTTCTAGAGGACCTTGGCGTGGACACACCAAAACAGGTAGTCCTGGATAGTTTTCCATCTCGGCTGTTCTCCGGGAAAAAACGTAGTTTTGCCAGCTCATGGTACCAAAACCGACCCTGGCTTGAATACTCTGTGAAAGGCGATGCTGCGTACCGTTTCCCATGCAGAAAGTTTAAGGCTCTTAGCAAACACAGCTCTACAGAGAAAATTATGGAGAGAAAAACAAATGCGCATCGAGACTGGTCAGGAAATCACAACTCTTGTCAACAAAGATCAGCTGGCTCTTAACAGATATTACGTGGGCTCCATTATTGACATTGTGACTTTTCTCTCTACCAGCAATCTTCCTTTCCGAGGTGACCACAACTCTTTAGAGTGTATGTCCAAGTCTGGCAGTGGGTTATTTTTGTCATTGTTTGAGTATACCATCGAAAAAGACCCAGAACTCGTGGAAATTGCCCCCACCATTCCCAAAAATGCTACCTACATAAGCCATGATATACAAAACGACATAATTGACCTGATGAGCAAACTTGTAACGGAGCATATTGTTGAGGAAATAGGCGACTCCTTTTACACTGTCAAAATGGATGGAACCCGAGACCCAACAGGCTGTGAAAACATTTCAATTGTACTGCGTTTTGTTGATGAGAACTATGTCATAAAAGAAAGGGTCTTGACAATCGCCACAGCAGTTGCAGGTGATGCAAAAACCCTCACACAGACACTCATTGATGAAATACGCAAAGTTGGCCTGAGCACAGACAAAATTCTCAGCCAGGTATACGATGGGGCAAGTCTTATGTCGGGGAGACACGGTGGGGTTCAAATACTCCTTCAAGATGAACTGGGCAGAGAAATCCCATGTGCACTGCTTCAACCACCAGCTGCACTTGGTCGTTGTTCACGCCATGTCCGGTGAGAGAGCCATTGAGGATTTTTTCAACATCTGTAATGTCCTCTACAAGTTCACACGAAAGCCCACCGTTGCTGCACATTACCAGGGAAACACGCTGAAGCGTTTACTCGAACAGCGCTGGACAGGGCACCTGGCCACTGTTCAGATTATTCTGAAATCTTTTCAGGATATAGTTGAACTACTCCTACATGTTGAAAACTCTGCATCATTTCCAGCTGACTTGAGGATGGAGGCAGCAGGCTTGCTGAGCAGAATTTTAAAGCCAAGCTTTAAATTCTACACCCAGATAATATGCAAGATATTGTCCCTGCTTGAGCCAGCNNNGTAATAGTACTATATGATATATTTTCGAATCATAATTTTCACAATATCCATCCATCCATCCATCTTCTCCCGCTTATCCGTGGTCGGGTCGCGGAGGTAGCAGTTCCAGCAGAGAGCCCCAAACTTTCTTTTCCCTGGCCACATCAACCAGCTCTGACTGTGGGATCCCAAGGCGCTCCCAGGCCAGCGAAGATATATAATCCCTCCATCTGGTTCTCGGTCTACCCCTTGGTCTCTTCCCAGCTGGACGTGCCTGGAACACCTCCCTAGGGAGGCGCCCAGGTGGCATCCTAACTAGGTGCCCGAACCACCTCAACTGGCTCCTTTCGACGCGAAGGAGGAGCGGCTCAACTCCGAGTCCCTCCCTGATGACCGAACTTCTCACCTTATCCCTAAGGGAGACACCAGCCACCCTGCGGAGAAAACCCATCTCGGCCGCTTGTACCCGCGATCTCGTTCTTTCGGTCATGACCCATCCTTCATGACCATAGGTGAGGGTAGGAACGAAAATGGCCTTGGAAATATGTGTTTACATAATTTGTGGTCAAAACGTTTGAGACCCACTGAGATAACTTCGACTAAAATTAACTATCTAAACACTCAGAGAGTCCTTTACCTCACTGAGCCTCTGACAGGAGAGCTCTTTTCCGCACTTTGGCTGTGAGCTGCGGGCACTTGATAAGCCAACATCCCCCGCTTTCATCACTTACAGCGCCCACCGTACAGGGCAAATTAAACGTGTAACCGGGGTGAAAAGGGTGTTACATTTACTTAATTCTGAATGTTGTTACATCAAGGCCGAACATTAGGACGAGCGCCAACGGTCAAAAATGTTTTTTCCCTTTTTACCAGTGCAGCGCCGCCCAGATCTGGCGCCCTGGGCGACCGCCTGTGTCGCCTATGCCAGAAATTGGCCCTGCCTAGTACATACAGTGGCAATGTCTCAAGATTTAGCAAAAATACACCTTTATTGAACATACAGTAACACAAATACTACAAATCCACATAACAAACAATCAAAAATGATAAAGGGTCGCCACTTATTATTATTTTAAGAAAGAAAAGAAAAAGTAAAAAAAAACATATTCTCTTTGCGCCGCCACTATTTGTATATAGGGGAAACACTGAAAAATATGTATTGCCACCAGGCTGTGTGCTATTGCCACTCAATGTATTTGCATTCTTTAGTTTATTTATTTTAGTTTTCTTTGTCATTGATTGAGTTCAACTTTGCTGCGTTGAACTCAAATTGTGTACCAATGATGCACAAAAAACAAAGCATTCTGGACGTGATGTTGTACAAAAGCCAGTGCATTTCCCACGATGCAGACAAATTAAGCATTACCATGTTGGACAATAATGTCTTATCTAGTCTGCTTTATAAAATGAATGTGACCCCGAACAGTCCTTTGGTCGGTCCTTTTCTTAATCAGCTCAGCAACTATAATTATGTCAATTGGTTTTTAGAAATGAAACAAAATCAGTGCTGCTGTGTGGCCTCTTGTGTCAAAACGTACTCCCCGTTCCCAACAGTAACTGAATCATGGATACACTGAGTGTTTCCTGACATGCAATGTGTGTCCTTGAGGTGTACTGTAAGGGCTGAGTGCATTGTTTACATCCACGTTATCTCGCTATCTGTCTTTTTTATCACTGTCTTTGTTGATGCATTGCCACAGAGTTGGAAAAGGGGGTGAATAACGCCGCTTTTGTGCAAACTACAAACACAAGAAGGACTACAACATGGCCACTAGCACCTTTAGCGTTCAAAAATCTACAGAATACCTTTTTAAAGCAGGATTTCACTGTATCTGATGCCTGTAATGTGCCTTCCAAAAAAATCATACATCATACATGCAGTATGATGTTTAAATATTTCTCTTACGGTCATAACCAGAGCCAGACAATGCTGCACTTGCTTTGTACATTGCATGCGTCAGTTTTAGAGATAATTTAGTTTGATAGAGTGGAAAGGTGAGCAGAGAACACTAGAGATTTTAAATCTGCAAAAATAAAACACAAATTACAAAGAATTTAATGAGGTACTATGAAGCTTTTGTTTTTTGTATCTCACAATCAATGTTAAGCTGACGTAAACTGCATCGTGAAAAAAGGTGACCAAAAATGGCCACCATATTTTCAGTTTCGGCAAGCAAGACTATGCCCTTCTTAAAGGTTAGTTTTGAGCCCTTAGGTCCTATTTATACGGATACATTATAAGAACAATGCTCCATGAATTTTTTTCTTGGGAATTATACTTAGTTTATATTACATAAAAAAGAGAGACAGTGAAATTGTGTATATAATTATTCTGTTTGCAGAGAAATACTGCTGGATAGTGTGTAGTAAAGCAAAGTATAATTTTACCTTACTAATAATGCTCTTGTGATTCTTCCTCCAGGATGTTCCAGCAGTGTGAGGAGCCTCGTTTCACCATTGAGCAGATCGACCTCCTCCAGAGGCTCCGGAGGACGGGCATCACTCGGGCGGAGGTCCTCCACGCCCTGGACACCCTGGACCACCTGGAGCGGCAACATGGACACAAGCTCACCCACAAAGCTCCTTACATGCCTGCCTCGTCTTCCTTGTCCTCTTCCAGTGCCGTCGTCGCCTCTTCCTCCATGTCTTCCATCGCCACACAGACAAATTTCCCCAACAGCCGACTCACACTGTCGCCCAGTACCAACTTCGACACAACCTCCCCGCCTCTACCCATTCCAGTAGCCTCACCCGTCGCCATGGCAGCAGTAGTCCAGAACGGCCTGGTGGCGGTCACCAATGGGAAGCTGTCCCCGCCCCGGTTTCCTCTCGCTGTAGTCAGTGGCAGCGTGACGGCACCGGGATACGGGTTTGAGACCAGTGAGGAGGACATAGATGTAGATGACAAGGTGGAGGACTTGATGAGGTAAGGCACCATCAGCTCAGTGCAGATGTATGGGTGTACAGTCAGCAGATAAATGATATCAGATCTGTTTTGAGACAGTGTCCCCTTTTTATAGTTTGTCCAACAGAGAGTAATGACAAGTGATGTCAATTTTGTCAGCTATTTGTTATTTAGTCTAGGGTCCTGTGTTAAAATGACCTTGTTTGTTTTTTATTATATTTAGTCAACATATATATTTTTTTAAGACTAAGTTCTGGATATTTTTGTAGTAATAGTATTCAAAGAAAAAACCCAGAAGTCTCTTTTTGATCAACAATTGATTTTTGTTTTGGATGCCCTACATTCTACAATTGAGTCCAAACTGACTAAATATCATCACAGTTATCGCCTCGTTTAAGTTAGGGGAAGAAATGTGTTTCGCCAGCTTATTTACCTTTTTTAAACAAATGATCTCATTCATTTTTCAACTGTAGAATGTCCTGCCAGTGTATTTCTTTGGTGCATAAACTTGATTGTCCTAGGCAACTCGATCCCTCATGGATTTGCAGTGTTTACCTTGACTGCCAGGAATCCCCTACTTGTTGCTGGCTGAATTTAAGAGAGGCAGAACTCCAATATATGTTTTGTTTTTGAACCCACTGATAGCTGGTTGCCTTGAAACGTTCGAATAGCTTGCAGATATCTTATCAAGGAGTCCCATTTCAGTTGATTAGGTCTTGTGATGTTACTCTTCTGTGTTTTAACAGTTTAAACGGCGAATAAACTGACATTTATATACAGTAGAGAGCTTCAGCAGAAAGAAGGTCCTAAGCTTATCAATTCAGCTTTAATGTCTTGTTATTTCCTAATACAAATATTGTAATGTGTTGTTATGTGCTTACATACTTACTTGTTCTTACTCTTTTTTTTAAATCTAAAATGGAGCGATTATTACAAAACCCATTTTCCGGGATTTATAAAGTAATCAGATTCTGATGCAAACAGCATGGCGGTTGAAAAAGTCTGCTTGTAGCTCTCACTCGACCTAAATGTGATCCAAGGATAAATGCCTACACACACTCACACATACAGCACTGTACACACACACTCACACACTCACTCGTGTCTCTCATCTGTAGTCTGCAGTGAGACAGCAGCAATCAGAGTGGTATTGATTTGAGGGCGTGTGAAGATGAAATCATGCCAGAAAGCAGAGACTGTAATAGCAGGATGGGCCTCTGATTCCGGCACATATTCAGCTCAACAGCTGCTGCCATTTACATACTGTGTGTATATAGGGCAGATTTACAGCTGGTTTCAGTATAGTGACTGTTATCTTGTGCCATATTTGTAATGTCAGCCTGCCAGAGATGTAAACATTTATTGTACTTGGTAAACAGTAGATTCCCATGTCTGCTCACAGGAGGGACAGTGCTGTGATCAAAGAAGAGATTAAGTCTTTCCTGGCCAACAGGCGGATCTCCCAGGCCGTGGTCGCTCAGGTAACGGGTGAGTATCGCCTTCACCCGGATCTCAAACGGGCCAATTGAATCACATACAGTTGTTATGCCAGCATTCGATACAGATGTGGCTCCGTTCCTCTTCCTCCAGGGATCAGTCAGAGCCGGATCTCCCACTGGCTGCTGCAGCAGGGCTCGGACCTCAGCGAGCAGAAGAAACGAGCCTTCTTCCGTTGGTACCAGCTGGAGAAGAGCAACCCCGGTAACACAGCCCGCACCATCACACCTGCACTGGAAACACTGAAGCGTTGACTTGTACTACTACTATTAAAAGTATTATGTCAAAAAAATTCACATAACTCTATGAGTTTAGTTGAAAGAAATAATATTGATTTGAAGTTTTTATTCAAAGTTAATAGTATTGCTTTCTACTAACCTCATAAAGTTTTGTGAAATCTTAACCAGCTCCACCGAATGCTGGACTTCAACAACCCCACGGCCCGTCTACACTACAGGCATCAAAAAGTCTTGAAGCTGGGCGTGTCTGAAGCTTGGCGATTTTTTGCGAGCAACGCGACCAACAACCAATCACATGAATCTCCCGCCCCCGAAATACAAAGCAATAGCAATGTTAAAACGAAGTAAACTGGATATAAACTCTCCAAACAGGCGAAAACCTACCAGTTTCACCCACTGTCTCTGCCACCTCCCTCCATGCCTGGTTCCTCCGGTTTGTATCCCGGTAAATAGTTCTGGTCGTAAAGAACCGGGTGATTTGCTACCGTAATATCTCGTTTGGAATATGAGGAAATGAACTGCGGTCTGGCTCTCCCAGCTTGCACGCGGTTTGATTGGCTGCGCTGTTACAATGGGAATTATCTCGGACACTGTCGGAGGGGTTGTTGACACACACGTTACTTTATAACGCCGTAGACAGTAGAGCCTTGGCGTCGCAACTTTTTTCTTCCACGCATGACAAGGCTATTTATAGTTATTAAAGCTTGGAGCGCCCTTTAAAAGCTGCAGTAAAAGCGTTCAAAACCCCTTCGGCCCTCTCCTGCAGTTACGCCTTACGAATGACACGCGCTCTCTCGGATTTGTACACCTTTTCACACAAACAGCTACCGATCCTTTAACATTAATGACCTTAATCGTGCAATTATTGCAAATTACTTCAACCTGATGCTTAAGTATAACAGTCGAAGTACAGTTCAGCACCTTGTATCTGTATGTTATAGCACCACTTCTACTACTAATTTTAATCGCTCTTTTAGCCACAGTTTCGACGACTTAAGAGGGCAGCCTACACTATACTTTTTGTGTTAGCTATAAAAAACCTCATCAACATTTGAGTTCACTATTTGATGTAAATAATCACGAAAGTACAGTTAAGCCCGCTTGTATACTACTGTAATTTATGCATCTACTAACAACATCAATATGTGGTGTACCTATTTGCACACAAAAAAATGGTGTTACAACCCTTTAATTACTACTTTTACGTGCCTAATACTAATTAATAAAATAAGGCTGAGGCTAGACCTGTGATTCCTAGGTTGGGGCACGGGTCGCTCCGGGGGGTGGCAACTGTCAAATGGCACCCCGACCGACCCACGTAACGCCTTGACGGTAGCCTGCTTGGGCTACCCGGCATGGCTTCACCCGGCCGCTTCTCGTGTCGTGTAGGGGGGATGGGGGTCAACTGTTAAATGTCACAGGCTCCTTCACCCGGCCAGCTTTCAGGGCCCCGACTAAAATCAGGTCAGGTGGTGACCCGAATGTACGGCATCACGGTGGTATAACTTGTGGATTAAGGATTTGATATGTATTGTCTATGTTGGTATTTGGCTAGGAAGTCGGAGTATACTCGAGAGGTTGTTCAAAGTTTTTAATATTGACCAGTAGCGACCACTCGAGACGACGACCACGCGGTATACACGCAAATGTACGTCTAGCCCTCGGACTGCCACGTAGACCTCGCGTAAACCTGTCGGTATTAACCGGCCCTTAAACTTTGGGCTTTTGTGTCCTATTACATAGTTTCATGTTTATAGGTTTTAGTTCAAGTCATTGACCAAAGTTCCCTTGTTATATGGTTTAACTACCAAACCTACTACCCCCTTGTAAAAAACAAAAAAAAAAAAAAAAACAAGCAAAAAAAAAAACAACAGTGTCCGAGAAATTCGCTCGTGTGAAGTGTGTATCCTCTAACCTCCTGTGTTTCTCATTAAGTAATGTAGGGACTGTAAATAAATTCTCGTAGCTCCGGGTTACTTGTGTTAATTTCAGTTCTGAGACTAATCTCGTAGGAAGTCCCCCTTGTGTCGTCCTATGTCGCTCAAGAGGACACGACTAGCATGTAAAGGAGCACAACGAGATGTGAATTTGTCTGGTGAATAACAAGTTAGTGTCCTTTTGCCGAAAGAATAAAAGACAGGCGGTCCCCCCTTAAGAAGCTTTTACGCGGTATTTTTTCGTCTTGATGGGGCTGTCTCTGAAAACTAATGTTGAATTAGTTTAGACATTCGACAGGTCTACCGGGTATTGAACCAAAGTCGTTTGAGGAGACTCATCGTACATCTGTAGTGTCCGATACTTATGCGTTACTCGATTTCATGTCATGTGCCAGGATGACTTTCCTCTGAAACTGCGCTGTTACGTTACTGTTGCACAAAAGTTCGTCTATTTTGTCCGAGAGGGATAACACACCATCAGCCTTTTTGAGTCTAAAAAAGAATTTCAGTCGGGACTTTTTTGCTTTGCAACTGAAGTTAATTCTACCTAATGCAGTTGTTTAAGGTGTTTTGACATTAATCCAATCAGGATTAATAATAACTTCAACTTGGAAGTTCTGAAAAATTAAATTTAAATTATAATACACGAAAGGTGAATTTTGGATTATGTCATACACTTATATAAATTGGTATTATTTGAACTTAATTTCAGGTTGCAAAGTCTAAACAGTAACTCCGCAAGTCTTTGAGGCGCCGGCAGATGTGGATGTCCGCGTAGCTTTTTACGAAAGTTGCGAAGCGGGGTAGTGAACTTCCCCACTGCATCTTTCTAAAAATTAGAGAAGCGGCCTTGGACGTAACACCCTCGTACCTGTACCGAAACGTTCGTAGTGCCTCGGGTAGAGTAGCCGTGTTCTTCAACTTGTTACAAGTTGAAAAACTCCGGAGCTACGAACCGGTAGTCGGTTAGTTGTAGGACAAATACGTTTAGGGC